TAGATCCACCATTTTTGAATTTTCATAAGGAAAAGGTTGTCCTTCACATGGATTCAACGTTTCTTCCTAAAGTGGCTACATCGTTTCAGTTGAATCAGGACATTGTCTTGCCCGCGTTCTTTCCATCCCCATTGACTCCGATTGAACACTCTCTCCACACTCTCGATGTTTGATGCTGCCTAGCTTTCTACAGGTCTTGCACAGGAATTCTAATAGACTCTTTGTTAAATATGCTGATCATGACAAGGGCTCTCCAGTCACATCTCAAAGACTGTCTAAATGGATTGTCCAGACCATAGTTCTGGCATATCAACTAGCAAAGATGGACTTACCTACGCTTCCAAGAGGCCATTCTACGCGAACAGTAGTGACTTTGTTGGCTTTTGCAGCAGGTGTTCCGATCCAGGATATTTGCAGAGCCACAACCTGGGCTGCTCCATGTACTTTCACCAAGCATTATTGGCTTGATGTACGTACAAGACAGGATTGTTCCTTTGGTTGAGCAGTTCTCTCCACCATTCTTCATTGACGACACCTCCCTCCTCCAAGTATGGTAAGCTTGCTAATCTCCCATATGTGTGATGCACAGAGGCCACGACAAAGAAGAGCAGGTTGCTTACCTATAACTGATGTTCTTCGAGTGGCCATCTGTGCATTCACACAACCCACCCACCAGCCCCACATGGTGTCGGTGAGTGGACTTGCTTTTTCGTCGGTTCCGCACTGATCTTACGGTATCGATGATGCTTATTGTAATACTGTCTTTAACTGCAAGGGGGCGAATGTCGGTCTTCAAGACTGAGTAAAATGGCGGATGCTCCGCTCTATTTATACTATGGGGGGGAGGGGAGCGGAGCATTTTTCCTGCCAAAAACCGTTAGCTTTCTGATCTTCCAGACTAGGCACTGTGCAGGCGCAGCACCCATATGTGTGAATGCACAGATGGCCACTCGAAGAACATCAGTTACAGGTAAGCAACCTGCTTTTCTGATGTGTGGTGTCCCTTCCAAACATTGGCTAGACCCAGACCTGCTTAGCTTTACTATGACGACTGCCTTGTACATGTTCAGGAAATTTCCCAGAACTTGTGCTTGTAGGACTTGTTTTGGTCTTAAAACCTGATCTCCTTCCCCTTAAGCAAAAATAAATCAAGCCAGAACATTTCCTAGAAGCAAAAATGACAAAACTGAATCTGTCCTACTTTGGGCACACCATGAGAAGGCAAGCCTCATTGGAGAAGACAATCATACTAAGAAAAGTTGAAGGCAGAAGAAAAGGAAGACCCAATATGAGATATATTGACTCCATAAAGGAAGCCTTGAATTTACAAGACCTGACCAGGGCTGTCAAGGATAGGAAAGTTTGGAGGGCATTTATTTATAGGGTCATTTCATTTGGAAACAATATGATAGCACATACCAACAGCAGCAACAACAATAAATCAGTATAGAACCTTCTTGAGAATCTTGATGCAGCAGTACCTTCAGCTTGACTGCTTCTGTGTTTGGAAGAACACACAGCCAGAAACCATATGTTTTCCGTATCTCTTCTACTATCTTGTGACACCATTCTATGGTACATTAGCCTAGTGAGTCTGAATTCTATGTCATTTATAATTAGTAGTTTAACCACTGTCACTGGGAGATGTTGGTCTTCATTTGCAGGGCAACCATTAAAAACGTGGAGTGCAGTTGAATTTATTTTACTGACTGTATTTCCTCACCAGCACCACAACGAAAGCAATTTTTTTAGATGAATATCACTGAATGACCTCAGTTTTGTAACTAAAATTTTGATCTCCTGGACTGATTGGAAACAATGAACTAGCATGCATGAGATAAGTGTGGAATGTTTGAGCTTTCTCAAGGGCATTTGACAAATCTAATTTTAATTCAAAAGGACTAATAGATTATTGATTTAAGCGGGAAGACTATGCACCAATCAATTCCCAGAGCATTCTATGTCTATCCTAAATAGCAACAAAAATTACTGTTGAGAATATAATGCTTCTGCCTTTTTTCTGGAGGAGCTGTACTTGCAAAGTTGGCCTTATACATTATTATTTTGAATTTGTTGTTTGGTATACATACTTTTGTACCATTACCAATGGTCTAATAAGGATTCTCTATACCCCCCCAACCTCCCATATTTTCCCATTTATAAATATTAGGTCAATGAAAGATACAAGCATATTGACTTTGCATCTCTAGTAAAAAGAATAAGGAAAGGTGCACAGTGATTACAAATCCCGTGTTTGATTTTTTGATATGTTCCATGTCTTCATTATGAGCTGAATATCGCTTTTTAAATAATTTAGCATGCCTAATCTCCTTTGAAATTAATTTGGGGTTTATGTGCATACAGGTGAATACCCAAGGATTGCCTTAGATATACCAGAGTGCACACACAATGGCATTTTCCCATTGTTGTAATCTATCTGCAACATTTGGCAGTGCATCAACAATCATTCCCAAATTCCCCACACATTTGGACGTTAAATTTTCAAGCCAATAGTTTGGTACGAAGAGGATCTCAGTCTCTCTTTTGCATGTGTGGAAGGTCCTCATGCGTTCTTTTGGATTCTGACCCAATTTGTATCAGTGCCTCCACAGAACCACTGTGCCAAATACTTCCTTATTCTGGTCAGCTTGACTTATCCTTGTGGAAATTTGAATTGAACCTTTGAACCAGTAACTGCTATTTTTCGTGCCCCCCCCCCCCGAAATCTTCCTGCTGTACCTTCAAGAGTCACCCTTAGTGCTCAAAGGGAATTGTCTGTGACATCTTCCACAGGCATTTTGTTTCCTAGAAAGAAGTTAGCCATGTACTTAACCAGAAATGCAGACATTTTCTTCTGTCAGGGGCTATCTTCCTTTGGTAACATAGTATGTAGTCTCCCAGGGACCACATACCAGTGGTAGGCAAGAATGGAGCTCATTGTGGTAGGTCCAGAATTAGCAATGGGTGTGGCCACTTTTACTTGTATATCTTTCTTTGGACAACCTCCTTTCTTCTTTCTGCTACACACTCTTTGCTCTCCACATGACGCATTTTTTTCTCTGCCCCATGAGTAGAAGGTGATAGATCAGAACTGCTGGTTTGGAGCAGGTTATTTGAAATTTGGTTGAGGGTTGTAGGCTGGCAACTACTTTCCTAAACAGTAGTTTCAGTTGCCCTCACTGTCTTAGCACTGAACCTTATTCATCATCCCGCCCACAGGTAAGTACATGCCTTCAAAATTGATTATACCTTCATTCAGAAAAGGGCAGTTTTTCCAGTTCTAGAAAGAATAATAAAAATCACCCTGACATTCTGGAGTTTAGATCAGATAGTTCTGATGAACAGTAGTGCCTGATGAAACACAGTGTCAGTAAAAAGGTAGAATTTAAGAAACATGGCAAATACCATATTCTGTAAATCTGAAACTGTGCTTTTTTTTTTTTAATGGAAGGGCATTCTATGTGACTAGTACCTGAGTTACTGTGGAGATTTTTCTATATTTTTTTACTGCTTCAAAGGCTTTCCCCTGATTTTTCAGCCAAAACTGGTGGTTGTTGGTTCTTCTTTCACATTTAAGTTTTTCATCCATTTGTATTTCAGTCAGTCTATAATGAAAATAGGACTAGAAGGTATATTCAGTTTCTCTTCCACATTTACATCATTCTCCCTTGGTTCTGGGGAAGCTGAAAGACATCTTTTAGTGTCATGCATGAAAAAACCCAATGAAATAGTAACTCTAGAAAATGCATTTCATATCTGCAGAAAATGAAAAAAAATATTGATATCAAACGCCGAAATCCCAATTATTTATTAAATCTGTGGTCAACACGAGAAAGCTTCCATTTGTGCAGCAGGACTTGCCCTTCTACCCTGTAGCCATTTTGTGCCCCCCAAATCTGGACCAGAAGTCCCATCCATATGTTGTAGGGGTGCAGTGAACTTCATGGGAAAAAGAAATCCCTTCTGCTAACAGTTTCTGTTCTGCTGGCAGATGGATAACATGAGATACAACCAAATGTGTACCAGAGTGTAGGTCTGTGATACCTTCATATTGTTGATCCCTCTGTTGTATGGCATTCTGTGACATTGCCTTGGTCCATCCATGAACACAGCATCCTGAGAACTTACAATCTTTTATTGTATGTTGTATGAATTGAGTGGGGTAATATGTACATTCCAGGGATTTGGGGGCGGGGAGGGGGGTGTCAGGGAAACAACAACATATTGTGAAGAGACTTTTCTGTATTTTTTAGGACGGACTAACTAAAAGCTCAGTTTTCACAAACATGGCAGACAGGATAAGAAAGTAGCTGCTTCTCTTCCAAGTGCCTAGGTTATATGATTGAATTCCCCTCAGTATCTTTTTTTTAGAAAGTGCCATATGCACACAGAAAAGTAGGTGTCCAGGAGAAAGATTTTAGTCTAGATTTATCTAGTGTATCCTGTGATTAGCTTTTTTGTGTGCACATGCAGGAAAATGAATGATTGCTTGTTTGTTTGTCCTAGCCAGTAGCAGCAGCAGTTGGCATCCTCCACTCTGTTTGGAAGCAGGACAGTAAAAAAATAATAATTACACCATATAAAACAGTGTTTGCATAGACAAGGTATCAGATTGCAACTTTTTCTTAAATACATGAGATTTTAAGACTAAAAAATACTACATAATGTCCTCTTTGCAAGCACTTTGCTGAACTTGGCGACATTTTGCAAAGTGGGTATATAAAGTTTAGCTCACAAACAGCCCAGAACATTTGATGTATTCTCCACGTGACTTACAAGGTGGCTACATCAACAGTGAGGATTTCAAATGACTTAACTGACCTCAAGTTATTACAGATTTTGGATGTAGTGATTCCCAGAAGAAAGTGGGGAGAAATTAAATTGGGAGATCCATTGCATGAATGAGTTGCTGGAGTTAACACGTCTGCTTCTAGCAGTGAGGTATAGTGAAGTCAATAGCTGAACTAAAACAGTCTTTTTCTCCTTTTTTTTCTTTGTAGCAATTGAAACACAGAGCACCAGTTCTGAAGAACTGGTTCCCAGCCCTCCTTCTCCACTTCCTCCTCCTCGTGTTTACAAGCCCTGTTTTGTTTGTCAGGACAAATCTTCTGGCTATCACTATGGTGTCAGTGCTTGTGAGGGATGTAAGGTGAGTGCCCAAATATCTGTGGTAAATTTTGCTTTTTTGCATTCCTTCACAGGGATGAAAGTGTGGTAACAAAATTACACATTTGTTCTGTCATTTATTCTGTCTACTTGTACACACTGAACTTTTTAGCCTGTTTGGTATACTTTCTAGGGCAAGGAAGGTTTAGGGCTTTCATGAGAGATATTGTGATCATTTGAAAAGGTAGAGGAGTATGAAACAGGAATTATAATCTGAAGAATGGTAATGTGAGATTCCATGGACCAATTTGCACAGTCAAATTTGGTTTCCTCCACACAATGGTCTGTTCTGCATATAGAGAAAGAGTAGTATACATAGAAGTTAAGATATATTTTGGGAACCAGTTACCTTCTTTCTTTACTATGACTGGTGGACAAAGTGCAATGACAGTTCTGGAAAAAAGCTCTTGATTTGTGTATATGCAATCATGTACAAACTAGCTCCAGTAAGTTATGTACATCACTATGTGGAGGCATTTGACATGAAGAATTAGCCCTGTGGGTATGGGTTAGGCATGGTGTAGGCATTGGGGACACTATTTGGCTAGGGTTTGTGGCAACAAAAGAAGGGATGAGCAGAAATAGCATTGTTGTTTGTTCTAAATGGGGGTTGGACACATGGAAAGAAGCCTGAGGCAGAAGGTATTTTCTCTCCAGAATCTCCATTGTATGATTAGCAGGTTGTTTCCCCATCTCATTCTACTTCCTTCTGTGGTTAGCAAAACTTCAAGAGGGCATATATTCCCATAATTTAGTTCTTACTAGCTCTTGTCGGTGTTCAACTTTGTATTGCCTTCTGCTCCCCCTTAAGGCATGTTACTTCCATGCTGCTTCTTGTGAATCACTTCATTGAAGCAGTGTTGAATTGTTGTAGACCTAGTGTTGTCATTATGCAAACCCACAGGCTCCTTTAGTTTTTAATTTGCGCTTTACACAGAATTTGACAGGGCACATTAATAAAACCACAACTTCAAGCACTGTACCAGCTGGAAAAGAAGCACTTAAATGTAATAGTGGCAAGCTAGGGGCTCAGCACAGCTAAAGTAAAATTCTGTTCTGAAAGCTTCGAATCGCAGTAGAAGCTAAGCATGAATCCTTCATATTAAAACAGTTGTGTTCTTTTCAAATACATTGTTTTTAAGATGGTGCTTTCATCATTGGATGATGTGTTTATGGAAACTAAGTTAAGGATACTGGCTTTCCACATAATTTTTCTTATGCTAAATTGTGTCTTTTGTGTAAGCATATGTGCCTCTGTGTTTGTATACTTGTGCTATTTGAAGTGTGTGTTGACTCACAGTTACCCATTGATGTCCAGTTGGGCTTGATTATATCACCGTCTTGATTCACTTTTTAAAAAAAAATTGATAGAGTGATACTTCTATCAAGTTAAGAGTTTGTGAGATGGTGATTTCATTGTTTTTTTTAAAGACATGGTAATACCATGTTGGATCCAGAACCTGCCTCCTGTGAAAGGAAGAGTTTCTCTCACTGACTGTAATGTCTCCATGTCTCCAGCCAACTCGGGATGGGGGTTGGGGAGTGGATTGCCGTCTCCCTGTAACATGACAGCTTCTCTCACTCATCAGGGTCTCCAGACTGTGTGTAGCTTTTTCAAGGGAGCTGGTGAGGTCAGGAATGGGATGCTATGGGATGCAGGAGACACAAAAGTCTACTTCTCTCAGCATAGCTGATCCAGTATAAATCCTGTGGTCTGATATGTCCTGGGCCAGGATAAGTCATTTTGCTGCCTGAGCTAAATGACAAGATAGCAACCATTTCCTTTAGTTCTGCGTACAGAAGGCAACTGGACTAGCTCTTGGATCTCATTTCAGTCTAGTGACCAGATAGCATCTTTAGTCACATCGGAGGGTAGCAGCCCAGCTTAGGGGTTGCAAAGGAGGCCATATGGTACGCAGCTGTCCTCAAACATTTTGCAGCCACTGCTTGGCTCTTACTGCTGCATCCCCACTTCCCTCAGCATCTTCTGCCTTCGGCAGCTGCTTCACTCCAACTAGTGATAGGACTGGCATTAGTCCATTACTGATCTTATCTCAGTTTGTGAATCCCAAACTACCTATCAGTGCAGTCTTGCATATCTCTTTTCAGAAATAAATCCCATGGAGTTCAGTAGGGCATATTTCCAGATTTATAGAAGCATGGGTTAAAATATCAAACCTTATAACACCGAAATAGAGTATATTAATAATTTGTTTATTTTTATGCATTTGGGTTTTCTGCCCATCCCATAACAAATGTCTTGTATGTCCAAGTCTAGCTAAAATTTCTCAGAGATCTCCTTTTCCCTCTTGACCTGCACAATTTATAGCATTCTGCTAGTCCCTTAAGTATGTTTTACACGCCTTGACTCTGCATTCCTTTCTTATTTTTTCCATGCGTAAGTGCTACATACAGATATACATTTTGCGAAACTTTGGCACTGTTCTGTTTTTAGTGCATTCTGCCTTATTTCCCAGCTGAATTTTAAAAAAATTCTTTAATGCTCTTCAAGAACATGATCTGTAGTAGTTCTTCCATTTGCTATTCCATTGCCATTTAAGAGAGCTAAACTCTCTTAAACTGAAAATGTAGACTCTTCCTTGGCTTTGATTTCTGCAGACAATTCTATTAACTTTTCTTCTTGGCAGCCTTGATGTTTCATTGACATTCACCTGTAATCATTCTCAGAAACATAGTCCAGTGCCTAGAGAAGTCAATTGAAATACTCTCATTGACTTCAGATAAGGATATGCGTACCTTCTTCCTCTTTATCACTACCCAAATCCTCTTTAGCTCATTTTCTTCGCAAAAGCACTTGTCAGCAAATTGGTCATCTCTCATCTTGATTAACTTAACCTCTTACATATTGGTTTCCCCCCACCAGATCTTTTACTAAGAGTCTTTGTCTCTCAGTGGTCCCTCAGAGATGAAAATGTCTTCCTTTCTCTGTACAAAATGCATTTCCCTTTGGCATTTTTTAACCCAATATATAACCCAATATTCTTTCTCAGCTTTTCCCTACAACCCCATTGCAATCTGATTTTTTTCTGTGTAGGTCTTCAAAGAATAAAGCATCATGTGTGTATGTGAGATACTTCTTTAAATTCCTCTACATATGCTCTGCTGGGATGTATAGAAAATGTTGGACACTGGGTGGTTTAAATATCCAATGTACGTCATCTGAAAATAAGTGAATTGCTGATTAAGCAGTTCTTCTTCAAAGTAAAGCCTGCCTAAAGGCTGTATTTAAATTAGGATTCTCAAGAGTACTAAAGATTTTTGAGAGTTGTGTCATTGTGCTTATTGCTAGCTACCCAGTAAAGCTGTGCTCTGAGAATCATAGAATGATAGAGCTGGATTTATTTTATTTATTATTTATTATTATTTATTTATAACATTTCTATGCCATACCCATCGCAGAAGCCTCGGGGCGGCTCACAAGGAAAATAAAAATAGAATAGAACAACATTAAAAATTCGGAGATTCTCGGCCATAATTTAAAACCAATAAATAGCAACAACCAATTAATAATTAAAATATCGTTTAAATAAAAAGGTCTTGGCCTGGCGCTGAAAAACAAATAAGGACGGCGCCAGGCGGACCTCTCTGGGGAGCCCATTCCACAGGTGGGGCGCCACCACAGAGAAGACCCTCCTCTGGGTACTCACCCTCCTAATATCCTTCACAGAGGGCTCCTGGAGAAGGGCCTCGTCCGCGGATCTCAGGGGGCGGGAGGGCATATATGGACGCAAGTGCTCCTTTAGATAATCAGGATGGATGAGGCCAGAGGGCCATTGTGTCCTACCTGTTGCTCAGTGCAGGACTTAGGTTAAACCATTCCTCTCAGATGGCTGTCCAGCTGCATCTTGAATGCCTCTAGTGTGAAAGAGAACCTCTCTTAGGTAATTGGTACTATTGTTGTACTGCTCTAATAGTTAGGAAATTCTTCCTGATGTTCAGCTGGAACCTGGCTTATTGTAACTTGAGCCTACTATTCTGTGTCCTGCACTCTGGGACCATAGAGAAGAGATCCTGGCCTTCTTCTTTGTGTCAACCTTTCAAGTACTTGTCCTTTTTGCAGCCACATCACATTGTTCACTCAGCTTATCATTGACAACAATTCCAGGATTCTTTTCAGTGACCAGCAGGCAACCTGTGTGCTAGTTCCTTTTATTTTCACTGGAATTAATGCAGAAAAAATACCTATAAAGGTCTTGAAGGCATACTGCCTTTGAGCAGTGCTGTTCAGCACCATTGTGTTGTTCATCTTCATAGGAAATCTTAGATGTTAGTTATTAGATATATATTGTTCCAGTTTTGCAGAAAAGGAACTGAGGAAAGGAATTGAAGATGAAAATGAATGACTCCCCTGGGAATTTCTGACTGATAGTCCAGTATAGCATATACTGGGCCTCATACAATTTCTCAGCATATAAATCATGTCATATCATAGCTAAGAAAGCTAAACTGTGTGACTTGGCTAAAAAACCATATATTGGCACACCAGAATCAGAAACCTAGATTTGACTAATGGCGCAAACCATGGTTTGGCATGGTATCTCAGTTGACCTAATTAGGGCCAACATTCTTCTTCTGTTCCCTACACTATATAGAAATGAGAGAACTTGCACATGTATGAAGATGGGTGCCTCAAGACCAGATAACAAAAAGAAACAAGTAACTCTAAACAATGGTTTGCCTGTGTACATTTCAAAGCTCCAACCATATTTTAACTTCCAAATGGTGATTAACACAAATAATATCTATTCCATTTTTAAATGAAAGTAGCTGCATTTATTAACAAAAGCTATTATAGAAAAATAGAAGCGTAGAAATGTAATGTGGAAAGAATATTGGTATTTACCCAATATATACATGATTTCTTTCAGAGGCTGCTTTCTTCTGGTCTGTTTCTTGAACTTCATCTTGTAGTACTTTAAAATGCTATTATCAGTAATTGTAAGATTCCTACTGAAAGCCCCA